GCAGGAACACCTCCAGGGCCCGACGAAAACATTCGAAAGCACTCCCGAAAGAAAAGTCCTCTGCAAGCAGCCCCACGCCAGTAAAGAGCGGAGCTGCTTGAGAATCCCCCGAGCGTTGCCCCTGACGCGCGCGCGCGGGCGCCGCGCGGCCAGGCGCGCCCGGGCGCGCGCCGCCTCCGCGGAGAGCAGCGGCGGCAGGAACGCCTCCGCGGCGGGGCGCTAACGCCCACAGGGATCGGAAGGACTGCCTCGGGGGCCACATGCGAAGCCTAATGCGGGATGACGATTCAGAAAAAAAATGGGGGAGAACGATAAAAAAAACAAGTGTTCTGCTATTTCTGCACAACTTTCTGACTGGAGGAGAACGGTAAAAAAAAAAAAAAAAAACAATTTTCCAGCCCGCGGCCGGTTTTTTCTAATCGTCATCCCGGGCGCCGCCGCGTGAACACGACCCCCGGTCATTTATTAATCGTCATCCTCCATTACCCCTACACCCCACGATTTCTGAGGGGGAGGGTGGGGTTGACTTCGTTCGGGAGCTCCCGAGCGAAGCGAAGCCCTCCCTCGGGGTAGGGGCAGGGTTCGCACGTGGCCCCCTATCATAATGACTGCCATCCCTCCCCGATTTCTTCTCCCACTCTTCATTACCGCTGCTCTTGCATGCCTCGTCGATGTCGGCCCACTGCAACGTTGCAGCGCGAAGCCAGTGCCTTCTGGGGTGAATCGGCGCTTGCTTGACTAAACGACTGATTGATGGCTCCACTAGGGCTGCTTGCTGCTTTGAGAATGTCGGTGCATCTTGGCGGGAATCCAACACCGCAAGCGCCGCAAAAACGCTCGACGCTGGCGCTGGACCCAGACCTCTGGAGACTCGAACAAATAGTGTCTCGAGCGTTTTGCTTGTGTTTTCGGTTTCGAGAGACTGGCTTCGGACCCTTGCGGGCCACCTTGAAGGGCGGAGGAGAAAGAGGAGGAGGAGGAGGAAGAGGAGGAGGAGGAGGAGGAGGAGGAGGAGTGGGGAGGGACTGTCAAAATACGACTCAGGACGAACAGCCGGCCCAGAGGGAAAGGCCGAGAGGTCCGGGAGCCAGAGACTCAAAAAGATCGGGTGGTCCGACGTCGGGGAGGCCAACAACAAAATGGAGAGGGGTGGGGATCGGTGCCGACACCACCGCGTGGACACGCAGACGACAGCTCGAGATGCATCACCGCCAGGTCTGGCCAAAACCATCCCGGCCCCGTGACCGTCCACAAAACGGCTCGGGATGAAGCAACACTCCCGACGGCCACGGCTAGCTGCGCCTGTAGGTCCTGACCTTAACACGGCCCAGGAGAGAGCCAATGGGAGGAAAGTGTTGAATCAAGTTTCAGGGAGGTTCTGACACTTTCTGCGCAAGGGGTCCTTCGAGTTCCCCCTCCCATCCCACTCGCACTCGGGAGGACAAGAGCGAAGAAGGAAGCGAGAACAAGAGGAGAAACGAGGAGGAGGAGGAGGAGGAGGAGGAGAAAGACAAGTTCAAAACATGTTGCGCGGGCTTTTGGGGTCGCTTCCACCTCCTCTCACCCGTCGCTCTCCCCCCTCCCCAAAGACGAAGGCATGGGACGGAAAAATCCAGGACGGAAAACTCAGGACACTCTGCCAGTTGGTGGATCCAACACGGGGTGCCGCGGCCGTTCCAGAAAGCAGCGAAGCGCTCCAACAATATCTGGTCCGAGTAGATCGTGCAACAAAAACACGCGGCTCCCCCTTGGCGCGAACTCTGCCGCCTACAACCCTGCCGTCGAGCCACGCCTCATGAACGAACTTGACCCACAGAGCGTCTCTCTGCCTTCCTTGTCCCACCCCCTCCACACCTAGCGTTTGGGCCCCTATCTGATGGCGTCCTTGCTCGACCTCAACCCGGAAGCCCCTTCTCCAAATCTATATGACTGCTCCGTCAAGTCATAGACTGGCTACGCATGCAGGGTTCTGTGAGCAGCGTCCGCGGTTCAACTAGAATAATGCCCAGAACGCAAACCAATAGAATTCGTCAAGGCGACGCAGAACGGTATTCCAATGCGCCTGCGCTCAAGAAACATCATGCCCATGGTTCTAAGCACTGGAGTCGTGGTGCCTGGGCAGCCCAACTGAAAGGATTCCCGAGCGCCACTGCAGTGAGGTAGAACAGCGTCACGAAGATCTGACGGCACGCGAGGATATGCTAGGGAGGGCGGCATGAACACATAATGCAGATGTCGTGCTGCAACTCAATATATGGTAAGAGGAGACCGAATATGAAGCACGTCCGGACGCGAACGTCAAAACCACTTGCCTCCTGCCTCGAAGACTTGCAGTGGCAACGATGATCAGGGGCGATCGGCCGCGAGGTGATCCATACTGTCGAGGGAGAGTATGGATCGGCACCAAATGAAACCAAGCAACCTCGCTTCTTCGACAACAAGAACACGGCCGCCAAACTCGCAAGGCCAACGCACTCACTGCCGGCACTGCCCTCATCCCCCTTCCTCCCCCAGGCCCTCGCAGCTGCCACTCGTTATCCCATGAGGGAGCGGGGGAGCCAGCAAAAGGCACAGTATATTTTAATTTGATTTGTGCCGATGCAAGCGATACCCACGACCGCACGTCGGCCGAGACGGACGCATTGACAAAATCGGCTGCTTGATGAGTGCTGTCTTGCGACCATCTCTCGAAAAATAACCCAGAGCGATGAAGGAAGCACCAAGTGAGGCTTGGACAATAGTGCGATCGCCACAGCAACATGACAAACGCGGTCACGACATCGAACGCGCCGGCGCAGCACTCTCTCCTTAAAGCGTGGAGCATAGCATCCTTCCACCAACTATGAGCACTCAGTTTTTGACAAGCAGGCTCGCCATCCAGAATCATGTCCCTGAGAAGTGCTAGAAAAGTATTCAACAACGAAGAGCAAAGAGGACGTCAGATGCCGTCCTAATTCGCACATTGGCCTGCAAGCACAGCAGAGCACTTTGCACTGTGCAGATTCTGGAGCTATGCAAAAAACGAATTGAGCTGCCACAGATACGCGCGGAAAAGACTGGGACGTCATGCTGCTATCGTCTCCCCCCTTGCCCGTTAGGATAACACTGTATGCACCCCGTCACCCCGACATGCACACTGACGGCTCGGACTTACGATGGGCCCGCGAAGGATAGCCGTGGGCTGACATGCAGGCTGCGATTGTTCACTGCTACTTTCGAGACTCCGCAGGTCGCCGCCAGCTTCGACACCCCGTGCGACGTATGACGTGTAGCCACCAATGTCGGAAGCAAGCGGTTGGTGCGCATGCGTGGCCGTCTCGCTCTCTCCCGCATGAGGACGTAGCTCGACGCTCCGAGCGTACCCTCGCTGCTGGCGTTAAGTCGGGCCTGTCCCTCTACATGGGGAATATTCAAAATTACCCCGGTGCGACCCTACCTAAAAGTTGGAGCCCCTAGGAAACCAGCATTAGTTGCTATGCTATGCTATGCTGTGCTGCGCTATGCTGTGCTATGCTATGCTATGCTATGCTACGTTATGCTATGTCATGCTGCGCTGTGCTATGCTGCGCTATGATATGCGATACTATGCTATGCTAAGCTGCGCTATGCTATGCTATGCTATGCTATGCTGCGCTATGCTATGCTATGCGATGCTCTACTGGGCTATGTTATGTTATGATATGCTATGCTAATGCAGCGCTGCGCTATGCTAAGCTAAGCTAAGCTAACCCTCTAGGCAGAGCCTAGGTAGGGAATTACACCCATGCTAATATGCTGTGCTGCGCTATGCTATGCTACGCTATGCTATGCTGTGCTCTGCTATGCTAAAGCTTGGCGAAGCTAAGATGAAGGTAAGCTAAGCTAAGATAAACCCTGAACTAAGATGAAGCTAAGCTAAGTTAAGATGAATTCAACTACGCTAAAATGAGATAAGCAACGCTACGCTAAAGGAACGTCACTGGGGGAACCGCGGGGCGGATGCCGGGGGAACCGCCCGGGGCAAGCCCTACTGCCCGGCCCCTTTAAGACACAGGGTAAGAACCCTTCTAGGCAGAGCCTAGGTAGGGAAATAGTTAAAAAATAGTCTGGGGACTATTCTCTGAATGTTTTTGGGCATCTTTTGAACATTTTTCGATAATTGTGAACTTTTCCTCCAGAATCCCCCCTGTAGGGGGACAGGCCCGACTTAATGCTGGCGCGTCCGTGCCACAGAAGACGGGGCGAGGTTGCCGCGTCGCGTGAGCAACCTTGCCGCCGGCCAGGCGGAAGCACGTGCAAGCACGGAACGCCTGCCGCCAGCGCCGCCCTCGAGCACCGGGAACTGGGCGCGCCTGCCCGCCCTGCCCGCTCCCTGCCGTGCCTCCGGGCGCCCCCCCCCCCCCCCCGGCGTGCGGCTCCCAGGGACCCCATGAGCCCCGAGAGGGTTGCCATGGAGACCGCGTGTCGTTGGACGCGCCCTTGCCCCGACCAGTTGGGCGCCCGAGTTATCTCGGGGTAACTCGGGTCCAGGGTAACTCGGGCTTGGATTCCCGGAAAAGAATCCCGACTTAGCCCTGACCCGAGTTACCCCTGATGATGTGGGGTTCTGGACGCCCGAACTATGTGGGGTAACTCGGGTCCGGGGTAAGTCGGGTTCGGATTCCCGAAAAACGAACCCGAGTTAGCCCTGACCCGAGTTACCCCTGATGATTCGGGGCTCTGAACCAGCTGCGACCACAGGTGCCAGGTGATTCAGAGACGCGGGGTCGGGGGCCCACAACCGCGCAGTGGCAGCGCGATGCTACGCTGGCCAGACTTCGCTGGGTTCGCCCACCTGGCTCTCGCGTCTCCTCCCCCGACCTTCCCTCGCCTCCCTATGGGCACCCAAAGTCTGCCCCGAGTCGCAGACTGATCGAGTCGCTTGCAAAGTCCATCGAATCGGTCGGAGTAAAAACCATCCGTGGAGGAAGCGAGTCGCCGTTGGGGGGCGCAGTCGGGCGGATCGATGCCACATGCAGGCGCTGGCACGCATCATCGGACAAGAAAAACCATGCACATTCGTGCGCCCCCCGGGAGCTACCGGCATCGGTAGGATTTAGCACGTCTCGGACTTCGGAGTCGCTTACGAGCGACTAACTCACCATGGCCGAAACACCACGACAGACTCTCCTCACCTCGCCGCTCCCCCCTTCCTCAGGAGGGCGCAAACGATGTATCAACACCAAGCTTGCCTTGCCCTTGGCCCAGGATGTAGAAGACAATCCTCGCCAGCCTTACGGCACATTCGCTGCCTACTAACCCGTACTAAACGGACCGCCAAACATGTTTGAGAGCTGGTGGATATACCGCCGTGGTATGGCTTGGAGGCGAATGCGAAGGTCGACAGCTGTCCTCTGCTGGGCAGTTTCCTTCCAAATTCTGGAGGACGCACGCTCACCGACCCTGGGCCCATGACGGGCCAAGTCAGGATCGGCCAGAGGATGCCGCAGGAGATCCCAGCCCAAGATGCACTCTGTCTTTGTTCGCGCCATTTAGGAGCTCTGGGGCCTTGTGGGCCGTTGTGAGGGGCGCCCTGGAAGCCACCCGTAGCTCCCTGGGGAAGCTGGGGCCAACCTGGGCAAAGGCCGCCTCTGGCAGTCTCAAGCACACACGCGGCCGAGGACTGCTACGACGCGTGGCCTTCGCGACTGAGAGACATACCTGTACGGCTACCCGCTACGGTGAAGGCAGTGGAAGCAAACCCTTAGACAAGGAGTTCGGGGGCTAGAAGCTGGTGGAACGCCAATTGAGTTTTGGCCACGGATATCACCGCCGCCCTCACCAGATAAGGAATCCTCCAGGCTCCGAAGCCGCCTGGGCACATTCCTCAACGAACGCCCCCGCTGTACTTCCCAGACCTCTTCTGGGGAGCCCTCTGACCAGGATTCCGAAGCGCCTCCACTCGTGGCGACGAGAGCCTCCCGCGAGGCCCTTTGGCATCCGGGCCCGCTCCGCTCACTCTGGGCCAGCGTCACCCCGGGCATTCCAGGGCCACGTCGCGGCCCTGGGCGGACCGCGAAGCAGCGCCCAGACTGAGGTCAGCGCAGGGAGGAGGAGGAGGAGCAGGAGGAGGAGGAGGAGGAGGAGGAGGAGGAGGAGGAGGAGGAGGAGGATGCTGGGCGCGCTCACCTTTTCCTCTCCCGAGGGGCCAGAACAGATTATGTAGGAATCGACAGCCAGCTGAGATCTCAGCGAACTGGGAAGGCAGCGCAAAAGACTCGGCCTCAAGCCGAGGTCGCCTGAGCAGGCTTCGCAGCATCACCGCCGTAGAGAGAGGCAGCACGTTGCGACACGGCAAGGAGGTGGAGGGGAGGAGGAGGTCGACTTGAGCCGCAACACCAGCGGCCAACAAGTACGCACACCCAGCAATGTACTTCGGAGAAGCTCGCTCTGCTGGGCGCGCTCACCTTTTCCTCTCCCGAGGGGCCAGAACAGATTATGTAGGAATCGACAGCCAGCTGAGATCTCAGCGAATTGGGAAGGCAGCGCAAAAGATTCGGCCTCAAGCCGAGGTCGCCTGAGCAGGCTTCGCAGCATCACCAATTCCCATTATATGCCCTGGCCGCTGAGGCCGTCTTCAGAGGGCAAGCAATCACATAAGTCACTGGCACGCAAGTTGATTCAGACGACTGGCTTCGATGGCCCCGGCGGAGGCCCACATCCACTTGGCCCCTTGAGTACACATGCTTGACGGATAGGGCTCGGCGCGGGAGGTCCATTTTTGAGACGACCCTGGAATGGCGCCAGAAAGGTGAACGTGGGCCCCCCCAGAAAAATCACACACTCCGTGGCGGGAAGAACAAAGGCAGGAGAAAGAGGGGGGAGCAAGCTGGAGGTGCCAGGCCACAATTTTTGTGCGCTTGCGCCAAGGCACTTTGAATTGGCAAAAATCAAAGACATAAGCTCGGCAGGCAGGATGAGTGGCTAGTCTTTTCATGTTCGGAGTGAACCAAGCGAGACTACTACTAGGATTCTCGGCGACCACTGGGACCCGGGCACGAATACACGAGCCGATGATCCGGCACGTGGCGAGGAGGGAGCGGTTGCCCGCAAGGGCCCGCTCGAGGCCCACAGGGTCCAGATCGGCACGCCCGAAAAGTTGGGAGTGGGTTTGGCACCGCCCGCGGGAGGCCACGCTCCACGTGGAGCAGGGAAAGGCCAGCCAGATCCCCCGGACCAGCTTGCTGCTGACCCACCCCACGATCAAATCCACGACCACGGGGTTGTTGAGATTAAAAACGGGGTTGAATTTGGCGTCGACCTCAATGACTCCCCGGCCGCCACACTTACGAAGACCGCGAGCGATACCCCCGACCCCAGAGAATAAGTCAAGGAAAACTTGGCCTTTGCGGGGAGCAGCGGCGGAGGCGGCCGAAAAGGCCTGAGACCAAGCTCGGTGGATGGCATCCCGACTCAGGCGGGTCGCGGAGTCGAGGGTGCCCCCAGCCTTCCAGACTCCAGCTCCACGGGCGGCGGCGCTCAGCCCCTGCGCCCTGGTGGCGCTTGGCAGCGCAGCCGCCCGGAGAAGAGGCCGGCGAGGTTGGCCTCGACCCACTCGCCGAACGCCTTGATCTCGGGAGACAGCTTCTCGCACTCGGCCAGGTAGCGGGTCCCCTTGCGGTGCCGCCGTGTGCTGGACTCGCTCAGGTGCCTGAGCCGCTCCTGGACCGCCCCGAACTCCCTCACTTTGAACAGCGCGTCGTGGGAGGCGGCCCCGTGGCGGACCTGGTACGGGCGCACGTCGTCGAGCCCCGCCAGGCTGGCGCACGCGGCGAAGTCCCGGCGGAACCTTGGGCCGGAGAAAGGCCACAGGGGCTTGTCCTTCTGGCTCCGCGCCTTCAGGGCACTCAGGGCGAAGCTCACGCTCTGCGCGGCGTCCGACTCTAGCACCATCCCCTCGTCGAAGTGGCCCGTCTTGCTCCGATCGGGCAGCTCCTCGGGGAACAACAGAATGGCCCACCTGTTGATCCGGCTCTGACGAGCTGGCGCCACCAGGGATCCGCCCACCATGCCAATCAGGTCGCTGGGCAACCTGAGGCACGCGTCCCAGGCGACGAGGAGGCCGAGGCAAAAGTCGAGCAAGCCGCAGAACACGCCGGCCCCGATGATCGCGAAGACCCCCTGCTTGGGAAGCGGTCTGCGGGTCTTGCCAGGAGCCATCTTCTTGAAACCCTTGAGTGCGGCCCGGCTGCCCTCCAGGGCCCCCGGCCGCTTCAAGCCCTGACTCGGATGAAAGAAGAGGACAGCAGCCAAGGTCTTCTCGCCCTGGTCCCGGTTCCAACCGTCGAAGAACAGGTGATCCAGATAGCTGGCGAGGGCCCGGTCTAAGTCGACCACGGTGCTGAGCCTCAGCTTCTCCCCCCGGCTCGCTGGTACTGCAGCTGTGTCCCGTGCCCCGCTCGAGAAGTCTGTAAGAACGTCAGACCCTCCACGGCCGCCATGGAAGCTGCGGGCAGAAGGCGGCGCCGATGGCCCGCACGACGAGCCTGCAGAGCGGCAGCTCGCGCCGTCCTCTTGGCCCGCGCGGTCCGTCCTCCGCGAACTGCAGCAGCTGCGGCCGCTCCCTGAGCCCGGACCGCTCGAACGACTGGAAGAGGTGGACGAGCTGGCGCGGCCACCACCGCGGTCACCGCAGTCGCTGGCGGGCTCGACGTCGCACCGCGCCAGCCCGGCGGGGCGGGCCTCGGGATCGAGCCCGTCGCCGAGCCCATAAAGCCCGAGCGGAGCTGCAAGATGTCCGCGGGCTCGCTGCGCGATGGTCCGCTCGAGCTCACGATCGAAGGCAGTGCCGGCCGAAGGCCTCGCGCCGCCCGTGTCCCCAGGCCTGGCCCAGGACGCCGGAGCATCGCGGAACGCCGGCCCGCGCGGGTCGCGCCTCCAAGCGCTGGCGCGGGCCGAGAGGCTGCGGGAGGGATCGTCTGCAGGGTTCAACTCTGATGCAATCCATCGGACCACGAATGAAGAATTTGAGAGAATAGAAAGACACAGTAACTCCTGACATGTTCGATTCAGCAATGGGGATGTCGAACGCCCTTTGCCCGTAGCTAAGACCACAGACATGTTGTCGCGCAGAAGCAGGTGACGGCGGCCGAAGCTGCTGACATTTCGTAGCTTGTGTCGGGCCCCCATCACCAAGGCCCGCCCTTCCGCCCGCATGATATTCTCCGACGAGGCGAACCGGCCGAACAAAACGGTGGACCAGGTGTCGAAATCCCCGATCTGCTCCCCATCGATGTGGAAGAAGTCGGTGACCCCACGGCGGGCTCTCACGTGGGAAACTCGAGGCTTGGAGGGGCCTTGAGGGGCCAGCCCGAGACTCTGCTCTCGGGCGCAGATGGCATCCTCGACGCAGTACCTCCACTTCTCCGCACGGCTGGCCACGGCTCGAACTGCCTCGGAGCCCCAAGCCCGCTCGCAGACGCCGAAACCCCCGAAGTCGAACTCGGTGGCCCCGGAAGCGTCGGAGGCCATCACGCACGGGTCGAACGGCCTCTTGGTGTCGACAGCGGCAAACGGCAGAAGTGCTGCCGCGATCCGCAGCTCCCGAATCACACAACTCCAGAGACGCCACCGCTGCTCCCCGGCCATTTCACACAAACGGAAAGCGCTGCTGAGGATAGACAGAAGCTCACGTTTCAACAAGAAAGCCCAGGTTAAATGGCCCAGGACCCGGCGCATCTGGACCCCGGCGCACCAGCCATGACGGCAAAGCTCCAGGAGCCCCAGACGAATTTTCCACAGGCGCCGGGTCGAAAGCGAAATGATTCCAGAGCTGCGTTCAAACGTGAGGCCTGTGAAAAACTGCTGTTCCGACGCCCCGACCATCCCTTTACAAACCAGACCACGAGATCCCAGGAGCTCGACGGCAGACGCGCATCCGTCCGAGCAGCACTTTTCGCTGGTCCCGAGGAAAGCGACCCCGTCGACATACACGGCAGCGAGAGGCCCTTCCTCGAGGCCAGCGACTGCACGTCTATCCTGGACCAGTCTGGAGGGGGGAGGCCGGAGTCAAGAACAGCCTGCTCAACCATACACTGACAGAAGTATAGAGACCAAGACCACCCCATGGGTAACACGCGGAGGACGGGCGAGAGCTCACCCACCCCGCGAAGCTCCCCGGAGCTGCCTGGACAGAGTGCCTCAAGGTGACGACAGGAGACGGGGGGAAGGACAAAATACTCTTCAATCCCTGCAGGCAGGCCGATCCGATAGAATGCATTGTCAACATCTGCCTAGCACAAAGAGAGCTCGCATTGATCTGGCACGTATAGAGAGTTCCATGCACTGGCCGTGGGCAACTGAGAGTACTCGGGCGAATTGAAGAACTCGTTGCTGCCCCGAGTATCAAAAATCAGTCTCTGCCTGACGCCATCACTCTTCCACACAAAGAACACTCCCAATGTCGCGTCAAGGCGGCCTCGCAGGTTCACCAAACCGGCGGCCTGGAGGTCTAACACGAACTGGGCGTAGGTGCCCTTCGCACGTAGACGACTGTCGACGTGGGGCTTGAATTTCTGCACTACTTCCCGGCTGACACCGGGCCGCAAAAGATGCTGTCGCCACTCCTTCCAGAAACTTAAAGCCGCACCGCCGAGGCACTCTTCCCCTTCCGCCAGGACCCCGCCGGTCGGCAGCGAGACAAGGTCTCGCTGGTAAGGAGCCGTCTTCACCGGGTCACCGTACCCGGGCCTGCTCCCGCACAGCTCACTGCAGGCTGCCGCGGGGCTCACATCCGGGGCGCCGAGTCGCTCCCAACCACGTCGGAGATGCTCGACACCTCGGAGCTGAGCGAGAGAAAGTTGATGCGAAACCTGGGCCTCGCCGTGGTTGTACAAAAGGTTGAGGGCGGTCACCGACTCGCGCACACGCTCGTCGACGAGGGTCCGGCGGAGGAGCCGGCTGCGGACGCTGCGGCTGCAGCGCCCAGCGCCGGGCGGCTCGCGCGGCGCCGAGAGGGCGGCCAGGTTGATAGGCAGCAGCTCGCGAGCGACCACCATCCCAGCCGAGGAGCCGGCAAGGCCCGCCCAAGGGCAGCCCGGCCGGCGGGGGGCGCCTGTGGGCTACTTGCCCCCGCGGCCGCCACCGCGGCCGCCCCCGGCATCGCCCTCCGGCTGGCCGCCGCCGCCGCCTCCGCCGCCGCTGCCACGGCCCGCCTGGAGCCGCTTGAGCTCCGCCGCCTGCTGCTGGATCTTCTGCTGCAACGAGCCCTTGTCGTCGCCGCCTCTGCCCGCGCCGCCTCCTCCGCCGCCACGACTGGAGATGGCCCGCTCCTCGCGAAGCTTGCGCCGCTCCTTGAGCCGCCCGCCTCGCGGTGGAGCTCGGCCGCGATGTAGTCCTGGAGCTCCGGCGCGATCATGGGGTGGCCGCGCGTCTCCGAGGTCCCCATCATGAGGTAGTCGTCCTCGGCACCATCGACGCCGTCGGACCGGCCCATGGCCCTCTCGCGGTAGCGGTGCTCGATGAGCTGCGCCCGCCTGGCGATGTACTCGAAAGAAGCCAGCTCGCTGACGTTCAGTTGGTCGAAGGACATGGCTACGTCGAACACGCGCATACACAGCTCGTGCTCGGCAACGCCAGGGTCACTGGATGAGAGCCCGGTCTCGTGCCTCCACTTCGTGCGCCGTGCCCGCGGGTGAGCATCCTGGTCCGCCAGGAACCGCAGGCACCAGCGAGTGGTGCGCGGACCAAGCACTGGCCAAAAAGGCCAGCTCGTCTCGCTCAGGAGGTTGACGGCATCCTTGAACAGGCGGCGCCGCTCCCCCTCGGAATTCACCTTGATGCTGAGCACACGGGCGTCTAAGTCCCCGTCGCCGCCCAGCTCGTCGCGCTTCACCACTCTCGCAACATGCGCCTCCGAGCCCATCACCACGAGCCCGAAGCCCCCGGCGACGGCGTATCCGTCAGTCGCACCACCGAGAAACTCCGTGCGGGCCGTGTCCGAGCCCGTCGTGGCGAGGATCTCCCAGCAGTGCCCGTAGGGCGGCGTCGGCAGGGCCCCTCGGAGACCTCCAGGCTAGTCGGACCCTTCACTGCTCCATCCCCTGACGGCGTTCCCGATGCTGGTAGTGGCTGCTTCCCACGCAGCCGCCGACTGATCGGAGGACCGTTGGAGAGAGCCTCTGGGCGGCAGAACTGCAAGGCCGCTACGTAGTCGAGCGGCGTCGGCTCCCAATCGGCGCCGTAGACCGAGTGTCTCCTCCGCAGCTTCCGGCCTTCGGATGTGGAGTCGATGGGCTGGCCCATCTTGTCGAGCACCACCACTCCAGCTAGAGGCCCGACTGCTAGGAGGTGCGGATAGATGTCCCCGTCTGGGGTGAGGCAGTAAAAGCATCTCGTCACTAGAGCTGGAGGAACTGGCTCGCCGACGACGTCGGTGTACTCCCCGGGCGGGCATTCGCAGATGATGATTCTCACTTGCCAGTCCCGCCCCGCCTGCCACAGGACGCCGACACGTTGACCAGCCTCCATAGCCCACGGCACAGCAGCAGCACCCTGCAGCGGCTCCGATCAGGAAGCAGAAGGCGCACACCACGACAAGGAAGCCCCGCAGGCTGCCCGTGAGTTCCGAGAGGAGGAGGCACCCGCCTGCGTCCTCGTGCCCAGGGATCAGCACCTGGACGGCATGAGGCAACTGACTGAAAGCGAACGGCAAGGCTTTTGCACGAAGGAAAGAGATGATCCCCATGCGCCGCCCTCTGAATTCGACTTGAGCCGCAACACCAGCGGCCAACAAGTACGCACACCCAGCAATGTACTTCGGAGAAGCTCGCTCGGAGGAGGAGGAGGAGGAAGGGGCGCTCCACCAGGCTCCCAGGCCCCGACCGTAGGCCTCGACCCTCAGTGCGGCGGCAGTGACGACGAGCGCGGTGGCGACGGCACGCCGTCGCTGCCGCCGCCATCACAAGCATTGGCCGTCGACTGCCTTCAGAGGCGCTCCCCCGCTGCGCCCCGGTTGGCTGCATGCACGAAGAACCCTGGGCCAGAATGACTTTTGGTCCGCGGCTGACGGGAGGAGGCGGGGCGGATGAACCCCAGCGCGCAAGCCGCTGCGACCGCTTCGTGTTCAGCGAGTGGGTGACCACACTGGGCTCGCACCAAATATCACTCCAACGAAGGGTCACTCGTACCTTGGATTCCCCTTCTTCCGTTGAAGACCCCTTTTCTACAAAACCGTTTAGGCGTGCCCCAAGCTAACTACCGTACGTAAAAGTCGGAAGGTGCTTCCGCAGCCATACCTCAAACTCCTCGCATGCTTTTGCGCATGCCTACCTACCGCATGCGCCCACCTTGAAAACACAAGCCCACTCTGGCATCCCAGAATCATCAAGCGCAACAGGGGGATCCCAACTCTCACCTGCGTCCCGATGGCATCACGCTAGCGCCCTCCGGCGAGACCCCGCGCTCGGCGGTCACACGCCACTGCTCGGAGGAGGCGGCCGTGGCCCCAAGTGCCCACTAAAGCTCGCGCGGGGGCCTCCCGCGGAGATCCCTGGAGCCTGTTTTTTTTTAGACTCTGGCAAGATTTCTTGCATGGACGGGGGGGGGGGGGGCTGAGCCTGAAGCAAGCCCGGGGGGGGGGGGCGCGGAAATCACGCAAGTCGAAAGGCACTTGCACGCTAGTATTCGCTTGAAGAGGGGCGAGGGGGGGGGGGGGGGGGGGGCGAACGCCATGCAAGTAAACTTGCCTGAATCTAACAAAAAACAGGCTCCTGGAGGAAGAAGAATAAGCAATTCCATAAGTATGAATTTGCGGAACTCCGCGCAGATCTCTAGGGTCGACACGGGGCCTCCCTCTCTTAGCCTCGCGGACCGCGCCGAGGACAGAGCCGGCGGCTCGAGGACTCTCAGAACGCATGTCAGCGCAAACGTGTGCTTGTCCACCGATAGGAAGGCACCAACTATACACCAACACCGATCCTGGCCAGGATCACCCTGGGCCCAGGATCGGTGTATACGCCCTCCTGCCTTGGGCAAGAAGGCATATACACCGATCACGGGCCCAGGGTGATCCTGGGCCAGGATCGGTGTTGGTGTATAGTTGGTGCCCTCCGAACCGAGACCCTTCAACACGACGCAGGCGGCGCAACGAATGCGGACACAAGCTGCAGTGCACGCTCTCGGCAGAGCCGGACTGGGCAAGCACTCGCTCGGGCTGTGTAACACATGCCCCGAGGATCGTCGAGAGACACAGGCGGGGGGGTCCAGCGCGGGTCCGGAGAACCGGCAGGGACCTCCGAAAATGATTGCGGCTGCAGGTTTCTTCTTCCTCGGCGTGGGCCCCCGCAGTAGGCCGCGGACGCGCCCACTGCTCGGGCTGCGGAGCCCTGTGGGATCCCGCGGTGGGCACCGGTGATCAGGCCGCCACCTGGCACTTCTGCGCGTTGCATCTGCGGGTCTCGAAGCGGCCGTCGCAGTCGCTGCCGTCGTCGGACTCCTGTGGCGAGGGGCTCGCACCGCCGTGGGCACTGTCGTCTGGCTAACGCAGCACACTTCTCCCAGGACGAGCCCGGGCGGCCCAGACGTGCTTAGCCCAGCTAAGCCTGGTGCTGCAACTACGTACGTACGGGGCAGAGGTCAAGAGTGTGCGGATCGAATGGTGGACATTCCGCCTGATTTCGCAGAGTGAATGTAGACAGGTCGGCACAGCAAACGCTGCAAACCAAGCATGGCACTCATATGTCACTATGCGGGGGGGGCCTCCCAACCCCGAGCCAGTCGAGCTGCCCCGAGAAAATTCCCATCGACATCAGCAGGCTTGAACGGATTCACGAGAAACTCCCGAGAGGGCCTCCATCATGCCCCAGCCACATGTTTCAGGCTCCGCACTGTGGGCCCCAAAGGCGCCTCGAGAAAACGCTTCCGACGTTTTCCGATAGACTGAAGAAGCCTCCCGAAAGGCCCGTCCCAAGACAATCCGAGACAATCCAAAGACGGCCCATGATGACAATGCGCCCTGTCACGCTGAAGCGTGCTTCCCCCTGGGCCCGGCTCTGCCGTGGAGAGCCCTTCGATATGGTCAAAATCAGCGACCTTGATAGAGTTCACGGATGCAAGGCCCTTGGAACGACGCGAAAGCCAAGGGTATGCACGCCCGCACGTGCTGAGGATAACCAGAACCGAAGGGAGCCTCTGCGAGAAGGGCACACGTCTTTTTTGAATGTAGATCAACGAGACGACGAACAACACTCGGGACTGTCACGCTGGGCCGAAAGATCGCGCCAACCGCCCTGAGTGCGACATCACGTGGAAACTCGGATGAACGAACGGCCAGGAGAGACCACGACGACCACCGCGGAGCGGGAACGACGGGGCGAGGAGGTGCACAAGCTTTGGTAGGGAGGCGGCCCGAACCACGCAGGAAAGCGCGTCATGATGCCCCTGCCAGCGCTTCGAAGATGAGCCCTAAGGCCTCGGGTCCTAGGCTTGTGGACGCCATGACAATGGACACTCTGACAGTCCATTAACTGAACTAAAGATGCGTTAAAATGTGTAAAACATGTTCTAACAATGTTTCAAACCTGTTTCTTACATAGTTTAAAACATGGTTGAAACATGTTTTAGACATCTGGGACTTATTTGGCAGCATGCTTCCTCTTCGTTCATCGACTTCCACAATCCTAGGGTGAGGAGGCGTCAATGCACTGCACAGGCAACCTGGAAGTCCTTTCACGCCCTCGGCGCCCCATCGTCGAACCACCGACACCCCGTTGCCCTCCTGAAGGGGGAAGGGGGGGACTGACATCCAGCCAGAATCGGCGATACACACATATATATACATATATGTATATATACATATACATATATACATATATATACACATATATGTATTGCCGACAGACAGGCGATAGACCCTCGATACCGACTTCGCACGCTGAAGGCGGAGTGGGCCATCGGGCTCCTCTCGACAATGAGTGGGCAACTGGGGGTCGACCAGAACCCCCTGGGCCTCTCCCGCCCTCACGTTGCCCCCTGGCGTTCGGGTCACAACCCTTAGGAGGCAACTACTGGGAGGTTCTCGTCGGAAAGATTAAAAAGGATTAAGCCCCATCTGGGAGCGGTTACGCCGGAGTGGGCCTCGGATTAAGCGGGATTAAGCTAGACTAAGCGGGATTAAGCGGGATTAAACGGGATTAAACAAGATTAAGCCAGATTTCGGACCAGGGCAAAATAAGAATTTGACCTCCCAGGAGTTGCATCCGAACAACCCCGTGCTCTGGAGGCCGTTGGGGACGACCCAGACGCCCCCAGCACGCCTCCCGGCGGGGAGGCAGCTGCGGAAAAACGCACACTCCGAGGCTCGACAGCCGCCGAGAGCCCACGAAGACGTCCGAGAGCCTGAAATGTCGGACCTTGAAGCTTCATCCCACCAGCACTGCCCCCGAGCCTATTTCGGAGGCAACTACTTGGGAGTTTTTCGTCGGAAAGATAAAGGAAGATTAAGCCCCATTGGGGGGCTGTTACGCCGGAGTGGGCCTCGGACTTAGCGGGATTAGGCCGGATTGAGCGGGATTACGCGGGATTAAACGAGAATGAGCCGGATTTCGGACCAGGGCAAAATCAGAATTTGACCTCCCAGGAGTTGCATCCGAAGCATATCCCCCCCTAGCCTTGCCCTAGAGTAGCCCTCCTAAAAGGTGAAGCGCTCGGCCGTCCCACAAAAACACGGGCTGAGCCATGTCAGTGGGCGTTGGCCGCGAGACTCGGTCCACTCACACGTCGATGCTTCGTCGAACGTCTTTCGACTTGGGTCGAATCTGGGTCGAACCGATGTCGAACTTGAGTCGACCTGAAGTCGAACTAGCGCCAAACCAGAGTCGAGCAGGTCCGATAGGTAGGCCCCAGGAAGGTCCCCCAAACGAACATCTGAATTGGGGCAGGATCCAATCAGCATCGAATCGACAAATCGGGTCGATTCGGAATGTGGATGGAGCCGAGCCGCATCGGCACGGAGCTGCAGTCGGACTCGAATGGGATCGGCCGCGCCAGGGGCACGACAGCGCCATTCAAGCGTCGGATCGACGACCAGAATCGGATCGGAGGATCGACTCGGCTGGAGTCGCTATCGAATCGGATCGATCGGATCGAAATAGAGCCTGGATGGAGGGGGTCCTCCCCGCCTCCGCCACCCCGCCGAGGCCACAGCCGACGGCGCAGCGTCTCGCGACGCGCGCGAGCGCTGCGGGGGGGGGCCGGGAGATCGGAGGAGCTGGGCGCGGAGCGGACAGAAACCCACCGCAAGCGAGAGAGCCAGGAGCTGAGAGATCTCGGCCAGCGACGGGGGCTCGAACAGGAACGCCAGAGTCGCCGGCGTCGGGAAGGCTGACTAGCACTTACTAGGAAGCCGACTCGGCCCGGGGAGCAAGGGGCTGAGAAGACCCTTGCCCCGACACCCTCTTCAAGACAGGACGAGGAGAACGAGGAGGGAGGAGGAGAGCGAAGGAGAGCGAACGGGGGGGGGAGAAACGTGAACGAGGAGGGGGGAGGGCCGCCGAACCCTGCTCGGAGCTTTGGCTGGCGAATTGCCCAAACCTCAGGCTTCCGGGAGCGATCCTGGCAAGACCCGAGCCGGGGGCGTCATGTTGGATGAGGGGCATGCCATCGCACGGGCATGCAATGCAGCGCGATGCAATACATTCCCTCGTGATGCAGGCAATGGCGCATCATAGCCGTGTGTAGCACAGCACCTCATAGAACGGTAATGTCATAGCAGCAATATGGCATAACACCAAATGACATACTGTGCCATTGAGTAGCCATGCATGGCGCACCACCGACTTGTACAACGAATCATGATGCACCGTGGTCTACAACTAGGTAGCATCACGCATCTCACAAAACCGGAGCACACAGTCGCATGGCAGAGCACATCATATCACAGCAAAGGGTAGCATTACGACATGCATGCGCCAAGACAAAACATAAAACACACGGTCATGAGAATACGTGTGCTCTGATGCGACATACGTAATCTTGTGAAGCACAGAACGACATTTGCAAGAATACCCGTCGCACGTAAAGAAGCGCCAAACCAAGCCCCAGGAGGCATTGCGATGACCACGCCGCGCCACGACGCTGCAGCGCTGCTGCGAAGGTCCCCCCTCGGTGCCGCGTCAACGCAACTGTCTGCCCTCACCTGTGGATCTTCTGCGAATCACTGCGCCTCCTCGCCCCAGACACAGAAAGCGCACCGTGCTGCATTGCCTGCTGGAACGGCACACAGTGCCTGGCAGAGCCGGTAAGACCCCCTGGAGCGAGCGCTGACGGTGTAGAAACTCTACTGGCGGCGGCTCCTGATGGGCGATCACCGCCCTCGACCGCGCGGACACACCACCACCGCACTTGTCGGTGCACTCGGACCAATCCGACCACTCGGAGTAAGTGCAGATCCCGGGGACGTCCTCCACAATGAAGTTCGCATTCACCTCAGCAAGTAGTGCGCGCATGCAGGCAAAGTCAGCGTGGTAGCCGAAAGCAGTCCTCCTCGCGCATCCCGAACACATTGCAATGCAGCGGCTAAGAGAAGCATCAACTTCGCCGCTTCGCCGACGGGCGGTACGGTCGGGAACTGTTACTTAGCGTGTCGAGGCGGCGGTCCTAGCGACACGCATTCCATTGCAAGCTGATGCTGTGTCGCTCCGCTCCGCGGGCGGGAGGCTGGGAGAAGGCTCGGGGCAATGACGCTTGGGGACTGGAACGTGGATCGCGTGCCGCGCCGAAGCGTGGTCTACCGAAACCAACCGAGCGGCATGCTAAGCCAAAGCTCGCGACCGTTATCGATGCTCGCAACAATCCCTTCGGACCTCATGGCCGAACCATTGATTCTGAGGTTTCTGCTGCGACCACTCTAGAGACCGAGGGCCGCATATGGGAAGATCCCAGCAGAAGGCGGCCACGAAAGGTCGACCACCATCGCCTCCACCTCTCCCTCTTCCTCCTCGTCTTCCTCCTTTTCCTCTCCTCTCCTCCTCCGCCTCTTCTCCTCCTCCTTCCTTGGCACGTGCGTGCTACACCCGAGGCGCGCCGTCGGACAGCACATCAGCTTGAGTCTTAACGGAGCCAGACGGAGGTAGAGCTTGTCTTCTTTTTATTCGCGATAACGAACGTGATCTTGGGGGGAGTTCGTCCCTCCCGGTCACATCACGGCGGGGACCTTCGTGAGCACCGAAGCGCTCCTGCGCGCACCGCCGAGGCCTGCGAGCACGACAGCGCGCCAGAGAGCACCACATTGACCAGAAGACGGCGCACGCATGAGAGCAGCGCGACGTGCTTGCGAGGTGAACGGGGGCCGACGAATCAACCAAAGGCTCGTCTTCGCCAGCCTCCAGGGGCCTCCAGAAATCTCTGGCAGCTTCAGGGGGCCCTACGTGTCCCCTGCATTCCTTAAAAGCCGCCGGGGGCGAAATGTGCACAACTATGAACACTCCCCCTCCTCCACATCTTCCTCCTCGTCCTCCTTCTCCTTCTCCTCCTTCTCCATTCCTTCTCCTTATAACTAATGTCTCCCTGTCGCACTCCGAGGCCAAGTTTTAGGGCGGGCCTGCCGTTTCGCCTGAAACTTCCTTTCACCATGTATGACCCTGAAGCGTGAAAAGTAGCAACAATTCCGCAGATGGAGGGCGGGTGGTTTTCAACATGTGGCTCTCGCCTTAGCGCCGCGCACGTTCGGTCTCAAAATTTGCAAGAGTTTCATAAATTCAGGGCGGGTGGTTTTCAAAATGTGGCTCTCGCCGTAGCGCCGCGCACATTCGTTTTCAACATTTGCAAGAGCTTCACGGATTGAGGGCGGGTGGTTTTCAAAATGAGGCTCTCGCCTTAGCGCCGCGCATGTTCGGTTTCAACCTTTGCAAGAGTTTCACGGATTGAGGGCGGGTGGTTCTCAAAATGTGGCTCTCGCCTTAGCGCCGCGCACTATCGTTTTCAAAAATCGAAAGGGTTTCACGGATTGGGGATAGTTATTTTTCAAGATATGGCTCTCGCCTGAGCGCCGCGCACATTCTTGCTAAAACATTGAAAAGAGTTCTATTGGTTCCCATGTTCGACGTACCAGAAATTGTGTGTTGGAAGGGTTCACGATTTTGAGGGCGCAACAATTACGATGAATCGTGGAGTTGAGGTCCCAGGAACGGCATTCTGGCACGATTCAAGGTCGTCAAGACGCAACAGTCAGGTTCATCCGTGGCGTCGGAACGCCGAGAACAATGTTTTGGCAGGCTTCAACGTCTTCAAACGGTTGTCTTCCAACGAGGCAAGCCCGTCTGTGGAAATGAGCCGTTGTAGGGTGTAGGAGCCTATGAGGGAGCTTAGGGGGAGGCTCTATTCCAACATCGTTGGTGACTCGTGGGTTTACACTGGTCCTCCTCATCCTCCACCCAGTGCCCACAGTTATATAACGTAGATGGTGTTATAATGTCTCCTAAGAAGGGTGATCGTATCCACATCATGGGGTCGTGGGCTCATCCCGCTCAAACCCTCAATGTGCACACTACTCTTAGAATATGGTTATGCACGTGTTGTGGGGCTATAGCCGAGAAGCGAATTCGCCTCTTGAGCCGCCCGTGCCGTGAGCTGATGAATAACCCACAGAGAGAATACCTCGACAGACATGCGACTGGGTTGAAGCCAAAGGTCCTAAGCCAGGCCGAGAAGAAGGCCAGGAAATCGAGCACACTTTCATGGGTTCTCGGTTGGATGAACTTGCTCGCGCAACGGGCTCCACTCCACTCCACTTCCATTCCTCCCATTCCTTCTCCTCCTCCTCCTCCTTGACCTCATGTCTCCTTTCTTCTCCTTCTCGCTCCTCCCTCGTCTCCTTTTCTCTCCCCCCCGCTCCTCCCCCCGGAGATCGGGATCCTGCCTCCAGAAGCACCCTTCTGTTTTCGGCCTCCTGGGCGCGGACGACCGCGACGACGACGAATTCGTAGGAACCCTTTAGGATCCTCTGGAAATCCCCAAATATTTGGGCAACCCTTGCACATGTGAGCAAAATAGCGCGACGTGATCCCAAGGGGGGGAAGGAGAGGGATGGTCACGGCCGCTATCGCCCAGACCTTGAAACAAGACAGGCTCGTACTGTTGTTCCCCCACTCTCCGCTGCCTTGATCTGATAGGGGCTTTCAGCCCTTCATCGATCCCGGGCTGGGCCCCGCGCGGGCTCGCAGTCTCCCATCTCCAGGAATCCCGTGGTGTCGCCTCCGCCCGTCGGGACCTGCGGCGGAGGCAGGTCGAGCAGCTGCTCGGGAGAAGGGGGGGATTGAAGAGGAGGAGCAGCAGAGGAAGGAGGAGGATGAGGAGGAGCGAGAAGGCGGATCATGCGACAAATGGCGTCGATGAAGAAGTTGGGGGATGCAACGTATGGAGAATGGTCGGGATGTCAGTCGCTTTCGGCTACACGATGTGCAGGCGATAATACATATTTCTATAAAGAAAAAGTGCAGCAATGCGCACGTCGTCGAGGTTTGAGATTCCTGAGGTGCCCCGAAGATTCTGTGGGACCCCCAAACAATCGGGAGAACAACACACTTCGGTTGGCCACCAGTTGGCACGCCGGTTACTTGTTTGATGTGCGGTGTAGATTTGCGATGATGTAGTCGTCGCTGTGGGAGAACGGGTGGGTCTCGGCCCGACTTGGGGCGAACACCCACGCTGGCCGAAGAGGAACGTGTGTTCCGCGCGCATCAACATGCGATAAGAAACCTTGCCCGAAGAAGAGTACTGGCATGACTTTCGCGAGAACTTGGCCTTCCTCAGGCGCCCCAAAACTCGACTGGGGTCCCCAGGGCCATCGTAGAATAAGAAGTCTCTGCGGGGCACCACCGCGCAGGCCGTTTCCTCATGGAATGTGCAGACTGTCGGGGAACGCTGGGAAGTGACGAAAACAACATTTCGAGCAACAGGTGGCTAGCTGAGGCATAAACAATGAAGAGATGTTGGCCCTGACATGGCAACCATGATTACAAACTTGCTCGAACGAGATAAAGAGAGGAAGAGAGAGAGAGAGGACCGCCATGCAATCAGAAGAGCTGACCAACTGAACCTTTCCAGCACTTCCTCCGGGAATCTTGAACACCTGGTGGTCTTCCTTCTTCGCGTCGCAATCCCACCACATGAACTCCCCCCCTGACCTTACCACGTCGACAAATCAATAGTTCAAGAAATGTGTTCCGAGAGAAAACACACTCGCCTCATTCATCGTCCGGAAAAACACGTCCAAATGCTGGCCGATTGAAAACGTGATCCGCAAATGCATGCAACGACTGATCCGCATCTTCAGATCGAGCTTCGATTCTAGGAAGTGTCTGAGCCCCAAACGAGTGAAGGCATTTCTCAGGATGGCTGGCCCACTTGATGTAGCCGTCGCCCGACTTGGGCACCAAGAATTGCATGCTCGTCTCCTGGCGGGAATCTGAAAAGAGCAGAGGCTCGGCACCAAACAAGGTTCGCAGGCATGTGCGTACGTTAATATATGTGTGGGCGTGTGTGTGTGTGTGTGTGTGTGTGTGTGTCTGTGTATTTTCCCCGCGCCGCTGCGCGTGGGACTGCGATGCCCGATATAACATCTGTATATCAGTAGATAGATGTACACGTGTTTACACTCGTATATATATATATATATATATATATATATATATATGCACACATGCATATTGCATACCCAATAACCTCATCAGACCTATAAACATACACATGTCCGCCGGCCCCCTTGCGGGGCCATCAGGCTGCGAGGATTAAGGTTGCTGCTCCCAGCGCAAGTTCCAGCTTCCAGTTTCAATTGTAACAGTATTGCTTTCTGCTTCCTACTGTAAATTGTTACTGTCCGGGCGAAGAGGGGGAGCCGAAAACCGCTCTGGTTAGCACCCCCCGCGAGGGTTCTCAAAACTCCTGGGGGTGTAAGAATTTACACCCCTCACGCAGATCGGCGGGGTCAGGGTCCAAAAACATAAAGGATTTGCCACATTTCTGAAATTCGGTGGCACCCCTCATGCAGATCGGCGGGGTCAGGGTCCAAAAACACAAAGGATTTGCCACATTTCTGAAATTTCCTGACACCCCTCACGCAGATCGGCGGGGTCATGGTCCAAAAACACTGGGGATTAGCCACATTTCTTAAATTCGGTGGCACTCCTCACGCAGATCGGCGGGGTCAGGGTCCAAAACCACAAGGGATTTGCCGCATGTTTTGAATCCAGCAAGGATTTGCCACATTTCTGAAATTCGGTGGCACCCCTCACGCAGATCGGCGGTGTCAGGGTCCAAAAACATAAGGGATTTGCTAGATTTCTGAAATTCCCTGGCACCCCTCACGCAGATCGGCGGGAACAGGGTCCAAAAACACAGAAAATCTATCGCATTTTTGAATGCCGGTGGCACCCCTCACGCAGATCGGCGGGGTCAGGGTGAAAAAACACAAAGGATTTGCCACATTTTTGAAATTCGGTGGCACCCATCACGCAGATCGGCGGGGTCATGGTCCAAAAACACTGGGGATTTGCCGCATGTCTGAAATTCGGCGGCACCCCTCACGCAGATCGGCAGGGTCAGGATCGAAAAACAAATAGGTCCCGACACTGCTTCACGGCAAAGCCAAAGCCTCATGACTTCGCTCTTCCATGGCCCATTCTCCGAGAGAGGGGGCCGGCGGCAGGGGGCGACGCCCTTACGGATATACATATGTATGTGTATATATATATATATAAACATACATATATACACATATGCATGCACACTTGTTTTGCTCTCGAGGGTTGCGCTAGGCATCGCAAGAAAGGCCAAATGACAGTGCGTCCCACCGAGCGCAGAACAACTTAAGTCTTAAGTTGTCGGCCGGCCAATGGGCTTTCCATCAGCTCGCACACATCCTCCTGTGGCCAACGTGCGAGTGCCCTCGACGACGGGCTCCCTTGCGAGCTTCGTTGTCGAGAGCGTCGGAAACTGCAACTTCGCATGCACACGCACATATCATATATCCGCCACCGTGCCCCCTGCCAGGTTGAGGCATGCTAGAATGCCAAGTGCTGCCTGGTAGGGTTCCTGCAACCTTCTACAAAAGACCCCCCCTCTCTCCCCGCCGCACCTCGCCGCGAGCAACGGCCCTACTCCTGGGAGGTCCCTGGGCAACCATGGCGATTCCCTGGGGCTCTCCATGGTTTCCATGACTGCCCGGGACGCCCACCCAGGCCACCAAGAGGCCTCCAAGACACCCCAAGATTCGCTCCAAGACGTTCAAGATGGCCTCGGGACGGCCCAAGAGGCCGCCAAGACGCCCCAAGAGGCACCCAAGAGGACCCCCAAATGGGCACGCACCAATCATTGATTTCCCCTAGGGTTTTGAAGAATGCTGGAGTTATGTTTTGGGGGTTTTGCGACGCTCCAAGATGGCCCACAATGCTCCCAAGACCACCCCAAGACGGCCCAGAGGCTTCGAAGAGGGCCGCAAGACGGCGTCAGAGCGCCCCAAAACGTCCCAAGAGGCGCCGAAGACGGCCCAACAGGGCCTCACATGGGGCCCTAGAGAAGGAACATGAACTGAAAATCCAACCCTTCCGCCCCAAGAGGCCCCTAGGGGGCCACAAGAGGCGCCCAGGAGGCCCCCAAAGAGACCCGAAGAGGACCTCACGAGGCCCAAAACACCCCCAAAAAAGGACCCAAAGAGGCCTCGAAACTGCCTCCAAGAGGGCCCCGAGAGGCCCCCCACGAGATCCTAACGAACACGCAATTGGCTTCACATCCACAACCGAGGCACGGTGGCAGGACTTGCCGTAGGCCACTGGGTAGATATATTAGGGGGCCACATGCGAACCCTCCCCACGATTTCCGAGGGGGAGGGTGGGGTTCACTTCGCTCGGGAGCTCCCGAACGAAGCGAACCCCGCCCTCCCCCTCAGGAATCGTGGGGAGTAGGGGTAGGGTTCGCATGTGGCCCCCAAATCTATGCACAAAAAACTATATGCCATAAGCCGGATTGCCGGGGCCACGGGCCCCGGGCCAGGACACCCTCCCGGATTTCCCTTTTGAACACCCCCCTCGGGGGCCTCTCCCCCTGGCCGCCCTGGCCACCCCAAACACCCTCCGGGGAGCTCGGGCCAGCGACGAGAGCGGCGCAATAGGGCCCAAGACGCCCCGAGATGGCCTCCAGACGGCCCGGGATGCCCCCAAGAGACCCTCAGAAGGCGCGTTCCCAAATGGCGAACATCGCCGCATTCCTGGAGGAACAAAAACATTGTTCAGCAGATTCGTTGTTTTAACACTCGCGGCGTCCAAGATGGCCCAGATCGCCCCAAAACGGCCCAAAAAGCCGCCAGGAGGGTCCGGAGACGACTCAGAAAGAGGCATCACAGGGGGAACCAGAACTTAAATTTCGAGCCCTCCGCTTCAAGTGGACCCCCCTGAGGCCGGGAACGCCCTGAGACGGTCAAAGGCCCCCAAGAGGCCCCCAAGGGCCCAGAAAGAGGCCCCAAGAAGACCCCCAATGGCCTCCAAAAGGCCCCGAAGAACCTGAAAACTCTCTCCACGAGGCCCCCGAGCATGCCAAGATACTTTGAAGTGCTGGTGCCCAAGAAGCCCTCGACCCAAAACTCAAGCACGGTGGCGGTATGGGTCGATGGCCATAGATGAGCAACAACTTGGCCTGGCGACGGATCCACTCCTGTGCAGTCAAGTGTAGCGCACGGCGCGGCCCTCGCTCCATAGATTGCGCGTCGCGGGGCTGAACTGATAGCGGGCTGCTGCGAAGCAAGCGTGCCTAGGCGCGCTTAACTGCGTGTGGATCACGATCTGCAAGAAGGGGTGTCGAATGCTCCAAGTGCCCTCGCGCGAACCCGCCCACTGAGGCCGAAGGTGGAGCTCCCTGTGTGGCACAAACCGTGTGAGACATGTGCCCACATGGGCGGTGTATGTGTGTGTGGGTGCGTGACAACTTTGTGCCATAGTTTTGACTGGGGTTCCCCATTGGGATGTTCCCCATGAGGTGCCATAACATTCCCCATTGGGTTATCGGTATGCTCCATAGGGTTCTCTACAGATGTTCCCCGTCGGGTTCTCTATTTGTTTTCCCCATCAGGTTCCCAAAAAGGTCTGCCGCATGGCATGAGAACAAGCGAGGATGGCTACACATGCGACCAACCAACGGCGGCCATGGTGACAACATGGCAATGTAATGCTCGAACAAGAAAACCGAGCCAAAGGGGCTGCGCATTTTTTGGCGCTGTCGGTATGCCTTGCACGTCTGCTCGGCACGCATGAGCGTATGGTATGTGGGATTGTCTGGTTTACACGTGGTTGGCGTCTGATGTGTCGACCATGTTCGTTGCCCGTGGCTCGCACACAAGAACACGCAAGTTTGATTGTCTTGCCTCTGTCCCTCATTCATGTTCTACGTGGAGTGCCGTTGGCCTGCCGAAGTCCCCGCGGTCATATGCCAAACGAACTGTGTGTACGCCTGTGTACGCGTGTGTTAAAAAGGTGATGGGTGTGCCACCTGCACGTGTGTGATTTGCGTTTGGACGTTACGGGTGGCACATCTGTATGTTGTGCGCGTCGGAAACATGGTTGTGTGGCATGCAGTTTGTGTAAACATATTGTATGCGCATGATGGCGATTTGTGGTGTGCGAATGTAAGCTATGATTCAATTTGAATCACGCGTGACTTCAGGGCATAAAAAGGCGCGTGCGCGAGATATGCGAACGCTTTATGCCTGTGAGTGTTACCCGTATGTATGTTAGCCACGTGTGTGTATGAACGCTCGCTGCGTTTATCACTCAGGTCGGCAACCGTATGTGTCGCCATTGCGCGAAGACTCGAGGGGGAAACTCGGGTTCACTGACGGCACTTGGGGCCTGGAGGTCACGCCATGCGGGACCCATTCTTTCCTCACTTGTCGACGACGCGAAGGGAGACACTAGGAACTGCCGGGGGCCCTTGGGCCTGGCGACCGCGGCTTGCGGGGAAGGCGAACGGGTGTGGCGACCTGCCCCCCTAAATCTGGCAACTCACTTGTCGGGTAAGATCAACATACGCGGACAGAGCGTAGCATACCACCGCAAACCAAATACATGAATAAATCGTACCGTGACACGACATACCGTACCGTATATACAAGATCACTCATTTACAACAAAAACGGGACTAACACTCAACACGTTGTAACACGATGGCTGATACAATTTGTCCCCTACTTTCGGGGGTTGCCAAAAGTGCCCCTGGCCCAAGGTGCTCCCAAGATTTCCAAGGAGGCCCCCACGGCCTCCATAGCACCCATCACGAAGCCCAAGGCGCGAAGGCTCTAGAATTGGGCGGAAACCTTGGGGCACCTTGGGCCAGGGGTACCTGGAGGAACGCCGGGGACCAAGTACATCCGTAACGTAACCTGAACCAGCCTCTGTCGATACTGCGCCACAGCGAACCTGACCGACTGCAACTATTGCGCACATCCATTTACAAAACACATTTTGGGGGAAATTTCAAGCATAACCATATCCATCGTTGCTGCGCACATGTAAACACCAAAACGGACGCGGGGCAAACCAGACCGCATGACATGTCCCCGCGAACGCCGTGGCGATCCGCGTTCAAGGTCAGAATCCTGCGCACCGCATCTTGGCGTCAGGCCACACTTGCCATGCCGTGCGACTCTGGCGTGGATAGAGACCGCGCTCAGGGACCACCCCCTGTGTACCTTCCCTGGGCCGCGAAACTGTTACACCTGACGCGCCCTGCGACCTAGAGTGGATAGGGACCGCGCTCAAGGATCACTCCGTGCACACCCTCGTTGGCGACGAGAAAAAAGGCCGCGCAAGCCTTGCGCTGCGACCCTGGCGTGGACAGAGACCGCACACCCTCACTGGTGCGTGTGTATACACACATATGCATTTGCGCATGCACACATGTATGTGTGTTTGTATGTATACATGTGCATATAACGGTATCTGTATACATATGCAGATATACACATACGCCGCTATATATATGTATATATATATACATATAAATAAATAAATGCACACATATACTGGAACCATAACGCGGGTTTCGCGTGCGCTTAGTTGATAGCCCAGGCCGCAGAGGCGCTGGAAGATCTTGGGCAGCGATATCAAGCACAGGCTAGTGACATAATCGTTTCTAATACCACCCTCCTCCCTATTTCAAACCTAATCCTCACACTCCTCATCATCATATTATTATTTATCATAAAGGCACCCGTGATCATACTCACAATCAGCATCATCGACAACACCATGGAGAACATCCTCGGCCCAGTGCTGCTGGCCATGACGTTCTTGGAGCGATCTTGGGCGCATCTGGGCCTGTCCTGGAGCATGGGAAGCCCGAAAAGACGACGACGTGAAACATCTCGAGAACCACACAATACATCAATGCGTTTTACATCGTGGGGTCCATTTGGGAGTCCTCTGCGGGGTCTCTTGGGCCGTTTTGGTGTGTCCTTGGAGTCCCCTTGCGGCCACCTTGGGCGTCTTCGGACGCCCTTGAGCTGTCTTGAAGGCCTCGTCGGCCGCTCCTGGAGCTATCTTGACGCCTTCAGGGGGCGTCTTCAACATCCCGACGCGATCCCGGCGAGCTCCCAGGGCCCCGGGGCCCCTATGTCGCGTCAAGGGGCCGCCCTGGGAGCCACCAGCCCTTTCCCCCAGTCTCGTCTTCTCTCTCTCTTTCTCTCTCTCTCCCTCGTTTTTCTATCTCCCTCTCTGTCTCTCTACCATTCTCGTTCTATATGTGTATATATATAAGATACGTACAAACAAACACACATGTATCTATCAATTGGCAATCGCATCGCCACCATCTCCGTGGAATATTTTGTGGGGAGATAGTCAAACAAAATATTCGGCGGCAATTTAATGGATGTCGGGATCTTGGTGGGAGGGGGTCATCATTTGACCAACGGCTCGGCGACATCAGTGCGTCACGCGCTGTAACAAATGATGCGTCCAGACAGAGCGGTAGCGCAACACGCAATGCAAAAGTGCGAATCGCATAAGCGATCCCTCTTTGGCTCAAATGAAGAATCTGACGCGCACTGAAGCGAGAGCTGCTCGCGGACGTGGCTGGCCGTGAGGCGCGAGCAACAGTCGCAATCATGTCTGCGGCCGGCGTTGAGGCGAGAGGACCCGTCGTAGTCATGGATGTGGCTGGCGCTGAAGCGAGAGTGACGTTCGCAACTATGGATGTGGCAGGCGCTGAAGCGATAATAACGTTCACAAACATTGGTATGGCCAGGGCTGAAGCGAAAACCTCATTCGCAATCCCAGATGTTGCTGGCGCTGAAGCGAAACCAACATTCACGCTCATGGGCGTGGCCGGGGCTGAAACCAAAACAACAGTCGCGATAGTGGACGTGGCCAGTGGTAAAGCGTGAGCATCCGTCGCAATCGTGGGTGGCCCACTACACGCGCGCACCTGCTCTAGCGCAACATGCAACACCACCGCGACGAGCACTGCTATAAGCAGCAGCACCATGTGCAGCAACAGCAGCTCAAACGCCACCAGCAGCAGTAGCGCAAGCAACCCAAACGACACCAACAGTACCTCTTCGACAAGCGCGACAACAAACAGCACAACCACGCGCATCAGCACCAGCGACACTAGTATATAGCACGACTATGACCACCACGACGGGAAACAGCAGCAATAAACGACGCAGCCGAAACGCGACCAACAATACCATTGTGGCCACAACGGATCCAAGTAACAACACCAAACGCAGTAACACCAGCGCCGCCAGCAGCACCATTGTGACGAGCACGACGGCGAGCAGCAGCGCCACGCGAAGCAACACAAACGCCACCAGCCCTGTAGCCAACACGACGGGAAGCATTAGCACCAAGAGCAACGGCACAAACGCTGCCGACGACTCCACCAGCGTGAGCACCACGGGAACGGGCAGCGCCGGGCGATTCGCGCTGGACTGCGCGAGCGCCCCCACCCCCCCTCGCCGGCCACAGACGCTGAAGCTCCGAGGCGTGGGATTTCTCACCCGCCCATCAGGAACTTGAGCTGGGTTAGACCGTCGTGAAACAGGATGGTTTTACCCTAGTGGTGATTTTCAGACTGCGACCGAAAACGGTGTCATTACGAGAGGGCCATTTCGTTCAGATACTTGGTGAATGTGGCTAGATGGAAAGCGAATGCCACGAAAATGCTATATGTTGGATTACGCCTTGATTTCGGAGTCCACGCTGGCTGCACAAAGCTGTCCTCTACTTCCACTGTTACATGACAAACGTCAAGCCTGGCCCTGTTGCGTGGATATATACATGCATCTGTACATATTTATATATATATATATATATATATATACATATACTGCTATACATGTACTGGGACCATCGCGCGCGCCTCACGACAATCCCGGTCAGAGGTGCGGCCTGCGCCGAACCGGCAGATGCGAGAACGGCACTCGCTATCATGTTCGACGGGCGCAGGGCGAGAACAGCACTCCGAATCGAGAGCCCAGCCCGCGCTGCGGGGAGAGCATGCATCGCAATCATGCGCGCGGCCGGCGCCTAAGGCGAAATCGAAATGCTCAATCAGAGATGCTGCCGGCACCGAGGCAAAATAATCATGCTCAATGAAGGATGCGGCCGGCGCCTAGGCGGCAACATTGTCATCAGAGATGTCACTGGCGACAAAGCGAGAAACAAAAGCTCAACGAAGGATGTCGCCAGCGCCTATGCGAGAGCAACATTTTCAATGACACGTGGCTGGCGCTAAAAAGAGAACGACGTGCTCAATGAAGGATGTCGCCAACGCCACGGCGAGAACAACATGTTCAAACGGAGATGTGGCTGGAGCCACGGCGAGAACGACGTGTTCAATGAAGGATGTCGCAGGCGCCAAGGCGAGAGTATTTTCAACCCGAGATATGGCCAGCGCCAAGGCGAGAACGACATGCTCAACGAAAGAGGTCGCTGGCGCCTAAGTTAGGCGACAGCAGCATTGTTCATCAGAGATGCGGACGGCGCCAAGGCGAGAGCGACACACTCAATGAAGGATGTCGCCGGCGCCTAGGCGGTAACAACATGTTCAATCACAGATGTGGCCCACGCACAAGCCAGAATACCATTCCGAGGTAAGCATGTCGTTAGAATGCAAATGTCACGCCCACTTCGCGTGGGCCGGGCGGGCTCAATGTCACCGAGGTCCTGGTCACGTTAGGCGGGTAGTCCACGTTAGGGGGGGGGGCACCCCATACCCGCTCGTGCGTACTTTAACTGGTCGGCGAAGCGCTTGAATAAGCACATGAAACATCTCAACTAACTGAAACCCCAATCCTAGAACGTCAATGCAAACACCACCTATCACAAATCCCAGTGACTTCCGTAAAATCTGACTGTAGGCTTTGCAGACCCAGCGAACACCACGGACAAAAAGAGCGACGTGCTCGTGACCGAAGCTCGAGGAGAGGCATCCCATCAGCGCTAAGCAACAATTGATCGAAGAGGCCTGGGGCAAATGTATGACCGAGTCTTGTGCAAACGATCTGGGCGATGCGAGAGCATCACAGAACGCCCCGCGCAATTCACCAAGGCCCGCTTGCGAGAAGCTGCAGACGAAACGGGCCAAGTCTTGTAGATGCCACGGCAATGGACACCCTAACAGTCCCATCCTTGAGCATACAAGTGTTCAAGATGTCGGGGAAATGGTCTAAACATGATTTAGACCTGTTTCACATGTTTAAAAGAGGCTTAACACATGATTTCGACATCTGGAAATTATTTGGCAGCATCCTTCCTCTCCGTTGACCGTCCTCTACAAGCCAAATCGAGAAACAATATAATGCGTCATGCTCGGCGCCGCCCTCGCCGCTACCCTCGGGCTGCTGCGTCCTTGGAATCGCAGAAACCGATCTGGGCGGGAACAGCGTTCTTGTTCTCGCCCCCGGCGACGGACAAACACATCTTTTGATGTTCATCAGACTTGATCCACACCGTCCGCTCTTCGACCTCGGACGGGCGAGGGCCAGTTGAGACATCCGTGGCCCTCCCCCTCCTCCTCCTCCTCCTCCTCCCCTTCCTCCTCCCCCTCCTCCTTCCAGTCTTCCTCTTCCTCCTCGTTCTCCCTTCCTCCTCCTCCTCCTCCTCCTCCTCCTCCTCTCCTCCGCCTCCGCCTTCGCCTCCTGCCCCTGCGATGCCCCGCTCGCTCTGGCGGGGCCTGCCTGGCGCTCTGGCGGGGCCGTCCCGGGAGAGGAGGGAGAAGCACGACAGCCGAGGGGTGGAGGGGAGGAAGAGGACAGAGGAGGGAATGGAGGCAAGGGGAGGGGGCGGGAGGGAAAGAGGGACGGAGGGGGGAGGCCTGGGCCATCTGGGCAGTCTTGGAGCGCTCTGGGGCCTCCCGCTCCCGCTCTGGGGCCCAGCTTGGGCCTGTCCTGGGGCTCTCTTGGGCCGTCTGGGGCTCCTCCTGGACTATTTGCGGGTTCCCTGGGGCCGTCTTGAAGCTCTGTTGGGTGCCTCTTCGGCGGTCTTGGGGCGGTCTTGGGGTCGTCTGCGGCCGTCTTCGAGCATTGGAGCTCGAGAACGCGAGAAAGCGAAAAACATCTAACAAACCAATGCATATCAATGATGTGGGCCTCTTTTGGCTCTCTCGGGGCGTCTCTCGGAGCTCTCTGGCGCCCTCTTGGAAGCCTCTTGGCCTCTTGGGCCTCCAGCTGCCGCTCTGTAGCCCAGCTTGGGCCTGTCCTGGGGCTCTCTTGGGCTGCTCTTGGGCTGCTCTTGGGCAGTCTTCAGGCTCTCCTGGGCCGTCTTGGAGCTCTGTTGGGTGCCTCTTCGGCTGTCTCGGGGCGATCTTGGGGGAGTCTTCGGCCGTGTTCGAGCGTGGAAGCTCGAGAACGCGAACAAGGGAAAAACATTTGAAACACACAACCGGAAATCAAGGATATGGGCCTCTTCGAGCTCTCTCGGGACGCCGCTCGGAGCTCTCCTGGAGCCTCTTGGAGGGCTCTTGGGCTGTGTATTGGCCGTGTTGGGCCCATCTGGGGCCACGTTGGGGCCATCAAGGCCGTCTTGGAGCGCCTGGGGGCCTCCCGCTCCCGCTATGGGGCCCAGCTTGGGCCTGTCCTGGGGCTCTCTTGGGCCATCTGAGGCTCGTCCCGGGCAATCTTCGGGCTCCCTGGGCGTCTTGGGGCTCTGTTGGGGGCCTTTTCGGCAGTCTTGGGGCGGTCTTGGGGCGTCGTCAGCTGTGGAGGAGCGTCGGAAGGTCGAAAACGCAAGATACCGAACAACATAGAAACAGAAACAATGAAGTCAAGGATTTGGCCCTTCTCTTCGGGCTCTCTCGGAACGCCTCTCGGAGCTCTCTTGAGGCCTCTCGGAGGCCTCTTGGGCTGTGCATTTCCGGTCTGGAACCCATCTGGGGCCACGTTGGGGCTGTCTGGGCTGTCTTGGAGGGGCTGTTCGAAGTCCCCCAGGGGCTTCTGGGAGCGTCTTGGAACTCTCTGGGGCAGTCTGGAGGCTCCACGGCTCCTCCGGGGTGCTCTGGGAGCGATCTGGGAAACCCCGGTTCTCCCATGCCCCCCTGAGCCCCGGGCCCCGCGCGCCCGGGCCTCGTGCACGGGGATAGATGTATATATGTACACATGTATATGTACATATAGTTACATATACACATATAACGATGTGAATACGTATACGAGTAGCGGGGTGTGTATATATACATGCATATATGTATATAGTCATAGGTAGTTGTGTCTGAATATATATATATATATATATATATATATATATATATATACATATATATATATATGCACATATATATGTATATACATATACATATATGTATATATGTATATAAATATGTATGTATACCGATAGAAACGTAGTCATACAGGCAAGTAGGTCGGCAAGTAGACATGTCGCTGGATAGCAATATAAAGAGATACATACGATCATCGAAATATAGAGAAATATAGACACACACATATATATATACATATATAGGTGTATATAAATATGTATATATATATAAGTCGACATGTAGATCGAGAGATAGGTAGATCGCATCACCACACACCTGCACCTCCACCACCATAGCAAGTCGATCGCCTCCCCCTTCCCCCCCCAAGCTCCTGATCACCCGAAGGATGGTCCTGTCGGTACCATCTCAGCGAGTGCCGCGCCGCGCACGGGTGCTCAACACTCTTTCCTGGACACAAGTCGCCCTGCTGATAACACGAGAGGGTGGGGGAATGAGAAGGGAGGAGATAGAAGAGGAGGACACGCAGGAAGAGGAGGCCCCTTGATCCATGCACTCCTCCAGCTAGTCCCCCTCCAGGATTTGCCACTTCCCCCCCTCTTCCTCTCCCTCGCCCATCCCCTCTCTCCCTCGCGTTCCCTCCACTCCCTCCGTCCCTCGCCCCACCCCTCAGTCCTCCCTCCTTCCTTCCATCCCTCCTCTCTTCTCCACGCCACCTTTCACCCCCCTCCTCGCCCACCCACCCTCCCGCCCCCGCGCCCTTCATCTGCCCCCCCCTCCCCCCAGCGGAGGGGGGAGGGGGGACAGCAGAGCGAACGAGGGGGACGGAGGCACTGTCTCCACCCGCCCCGCGAACGAGCGTCGGGCCGTGGGGTCGACGCTGAGCGTGGAGATGATGTGGCCCTCGCGCGAAGACCTGTCATCCGATGGCGGCTCGCCCGACCACGAGCGACCCGACCGAGCAGAACCCCACACAAGGATTCCTCTCGGCGCCTGGATGCCGCCACCGCGCCCCGCACCGTCAGCAAACCGGCGGCGGAAAGAAAAACTGTTCCTGGCAAGGGAAGAAAGAGTTCCAGGGGCCCGCGATTCGAAAACATCGAGAGGTCGGAGTTACAGGCACTCTCTATATGCACCTTCCTCTGCCTGTCGTTGGAGAATGGGTCGACTCGTCCTCCGATGACGGCGGAAGGGGGATGGGGGAGGAGTTGGAGAAGGATGAAAAGGGTCCATCAGGGAGGGGGCAAGAGGACAAGAGGACAAGAGGATGAGGCGATCTGCGTTAGACGGTGGCTAAGCGCTGGGCGAGCTTTGGGGGGAGCAGAACGAGGAAGCGGGGAAGGATGAGGCGGTGGAGGAGGCGAAGGCAAAAGAAAAAGAAGGGGAGGAGGAGTGGGTCTAGGCAATGTTGTTGAGGACGCGCCGCTGAATCCTCCAGAAAAAGGAGACCCCCCTCCCCCCCGTTCCCCGCTCCCCCAGCCGATCCATCGTCTTGGACCCCGCCTTTGTCGAAGGGGTGTGGGGGGGTGACCCCCCCTCCTCTCCTCATTAGCCACGAGCGACGACGACGACGACGACGACTGCGGACCAGGCTCCTATGCGGATTCCTACGCGGACGCCTACGCGGATCCCAAAACGTACGGCGGCAGTGCCCGGAGCGCACTGGGGGGGGAGTGTTACGTCATAGGGGGGGGGGAGCGGGGGCCATGACGCCCGTCATGCCCCAAGCAATCAAGAAACGGACTCATAAAACCTGCTCAGGCATGGAGCTGACCATCCCCATTACCCCTTCAACCCAAATTTCTGACCATACAGCCCGAACTCGAAACACTAGACGCAAACACCACACAACGGAACATATCCCATCACCCCCACCTACGGACCATACCATAAACCCGAATCCAAGCGCTAAGCGCAAAGTGGAACGCCCAATACCAAACAGCTGAACCCTGACCCTAAACAATCGACTCAGCCCCAACACGCGAACCCTTCACTCACGCACCCGAAATACTGATGCTGTACCAGACCCGACCAGACCCGACAAGACTGTACCAGGCCCCATCCAACACGCGGGCAGGTTCCACGGTGCGTTCGTTGTACCATAGCTTGCAGAAAAAAATCCTGCATCGCCCCTGCGGCGCTACAACATGTTCCCAGGAGCGGCAATGAGAGACCAAGGCAAAAAAGCAGACCGCAGAAGAGCGTGCAAGAGCTAAATTGAAGCAACTCGGCGGATCAGTTACGGCACTGGTCGAATCAAGCCATCATTCTGCAAGTGACGCCAGAAGCCCAGCATTGGACACGTAGAGCAGCTGCTCTGCTGTGTGCCAGGAGAACGCGAGCCCAAGTCTATCGCGCATAGGCCGTGTGCTTCCAAACGCATTGGCGGTTGCATTGCGCATGCCCTGCGCACATTCATGCGGGCCTGGAGATGCGATTCAAACCACCAACGTATCGCAACGTTTCGCAATGTATACATGCCGGGATACGCGCCGCAATGCTTACGAATCAATCGCAACGTGCCCGTCCACGTGCCCACCGGTCAGTCAAGGGCGGCCATGCGAGCCGGGAAGGCGGGGCTCCCCAGGCCGCCAAGCGAAGTCGGCGGCTCAAACCGAGATGGCAACTCGACCAGATGTGGCCCCACCTCATGCCAGCTGTAACAACTATGGCAAACTTGTCGTCTTCGACGGCGATCGGGGATAGAGTTCCCCTAGGGGGAAAATTACGAGCTTTGCGGGAGGTCTGGATGGCTCGGGGGGGTCTGGGGCCAGGAGATGTTATACTACTTTTGCAGGCGGGCGTTAGTCACATGACCTCGCGGTTTGAGGCTTCGCGCCGCGCGAAACGCAAACCGCGCTTCCCCTTGCACTTCCGCAACTGCTTCGACCCAGGGAGCGCGAAGCACGATCATCCTTACGCCGCAGCTGGCGACCAGAAAAACAAACTCGGGCTCGCATGCAACATCAACACCGCGATAGACAAAAGTCGGGATGCAATCGGCCGTTCGCATCCGCATGTGTTGGCAATGTGTCGCCTTCAACGAACTAGTTCCAAGCCCCAAACATACTATTCCAGTGTGACGTGCCCCCCTCCTCCTCGTCCACCTCTTTCTCCAATGCCGCCACCCTCTAAATGTCTTCCCGCTCTTCCTCGGGCGCTCGACTCCTTCCACGAAGGTCTACGCACCGCTGTTTACGAGCATGGAACAACCTAGCCAGGCACCCTGAATTGGGAGCACCCCCTTGATGATCGACCAGGGTTTCATTCCCCGAGCTCTCATGCTGGAACCAGAGGCATTCCATCGTGCCAGGGCCACGTCCTGTGCGCCAAAGGGCCGACACTGATCCGAAAGACCACGCCTAAGTCCCAACCACACGCCCGAATGACCTGGAATCCTTGGCACGCAGGTCCTGGCTGCAACGGGTCCTGATCGCTGGGGCTCTCCCTGGGACCAGCTGCCCCTCCTGTGCAATAGCATGTTCTGCGTGCGGTGGGTCACGCATGTTCTGGGGGTGGCGGGGGCGCGGCAGAGGGCGACGGGAACATCGGCTGAGGTGTGGTGGCACGGCATAACGCCTGACACTTGCAATAACGCCTGATGCTTGCGAGTAGGGAACTCTGCAGGGTAGCGCATTGGACGCTGAGGCAGCATCACAATAATCTGCCAGCACCGCACATCTTCGTGAGAACCACGATGCCTGTGAGCACCAAGCGCAAGCAAGTGAGAAGCTTTCGGGCGTTACCGTTGACGGCAAGAGGAGGAGGAGGAGGATGAGGAGGAGGAGGCGGAGCAGGAGGAGCAGGAGGAGGAGGAGGAGGGAAGGGGAGGAGGAGGAGGAGGAGGGAAGGGGAGGAGGAGGAGGAGGAGGAGGAGGAGGAGGAGGAGGAGGAGGAGGTGGAAGAATCTGTAGCTAACATGCGCTGTGTCAGGGAAACCAGACATGTGTCACTCGTTTTGTGACTGCCGCAGGGCCTCGGGGCCCGGAGACGGCGAACACCTCCAGAACCCTACATTCTCTACACAGCCTGGTTGCTTCATTAGGTTGGGAGGCAACTACTGGGAGGTTTTCGTCGGAAAGAGAAGGGAGGATTAAGCCCCATTTGGGAGCTGTTACGCCGGAATGGGCCTCGGATTATGCGGGAGTAAGCCGGATTAAGCGGGATCTAGCGGGATTAAATTGGACTTCGGACCAGTGCAAAATCAGAATTTGACCTCCCAGGAGTTGCATCCCAAATTAGGGAATCGAGCTCTATACACCGACGCTTCTTCCGGCCCTGCATTGGAAATTGCACTGGAGAGCGGATCCTGGTGTATACGGGACCCTGGTGTATACATGTTTCGTTGTTTCCCTGGGACATCGGGTAACAAAGTATACACCACACCACTCCAGCGTCGTCCTTGACCCTCAAGAAGTCCTGGGATTGGGAAACAGCCCGCCACTGGTACGTAATGTGTATGTTCCAGTTTCCGATCCATGGCGAACGATGCAAAAAGACACCATCGACTGACGATCCGCCCGGGCCTGGTGACTGCCCCTCCGCGTTTCTGGGCCAACACCGGGATGCAGGCCAGCATGCCCGCGGCCACGGCGCATCCCAGCAGCACTCGCCGGGCTGGAAGTCGAGCTGCCAGCGCCACTTTCTATCATTATGTGCGAGATCTAGGCGCGGAACACCCAACACGAAGCATGTCGCAACAGTATCGCGTCTTGCGTATACGTATGCGTACAATGCCAGGGCATGCGATGCGAACAAACGCAACTAATTACGTGTGCGCACGCACGTTTGATTCATCCAATGGCACACACACGCGAGCACGGGTACAGGGAGCGAGGTATGTGGTCCTGTGTGGTCGCCTCAACACCATACAGCGTATGACCGATTACACTGGTGGTCATATCCGTATTCTCATTTACCAGCGTCCACAGGCGTGGGGACATATGCACACCCTAAGTCTGCATGCGCGAAGTGTCCTACAGCACGCATCGCACAACTATGACATGGTGCGCACATCTTTGCGGCCACAAACATCTTCGCGCGATTACTTCGGGTGCCCAGTTGGAAACAATATATATTCCAAATCCTGCAAGCCCGCAAACCCGTACGAACATTGAACCTCTGCCTCAATAGGGTTTCGGCCGAGGCTTCGGCGACACTGTGATAGAGATCATGTGTTTTACGCATCGCGGATCTTGCCTGTCTGGGCTGGACTTGGCCTGTCAGAGTGTTGTGCAATCTGCGTGACGCAACCTATGCGGACAATCTACTCGGTGCACGGTATGTGGTCCAATCGTTGTTAGGCAATCTAGGCGGCGACGGGACGGCGACGGCGACATGGCCGCCAGACCAACCCCCAAGCCCAGACGACGGGCGGCGACGAGGCGGCGACGGCGATGACGTAACCACCAGACCGCCACCCAGGCCCAGACGACGTGCGGTGACGAGGCGGCGACGGCGATGACATAGCCGCCAGACCACAACGCAGTCCCAGTTCCTCAGACAGCAAGCAAGAAGCCCTAAGCCCGAAGGGCAAGCACTGTTTTGGGAACACTAATTCCGTACACTCTGCAAAAATGCGCCACACCGCTCTGACAAAGCGCCATGCCATCGAGAACACCGAATCGTCCTCGTGAGCATAGACAGGTACCGATCGTTCCACAAGTACCTGATTTGTCTGAAGGGCACAAGGGAATGGACACCTCCAAAAGACGATCTCGGCATCGCGAGCGTGCAGCCACATAGCTAGTCTCATACACAGTGCAATCGTAAAGAGGTGCTTCAGAAAATGGTGCTGAGCATTCCGCTGGCCCCCCTTTGGCGGCACCAGGCTGTAAAGTCCATGATGTACAACTGCTTTGCTGGTGTCTCTGGCCATCTCTTCTGCATGCACTCTCCATCTTCGATTATCCTGCTGCTCTCTTATATATTGTCCCTCGTGTCTCCGATGCTTCTCGCTCGTAACGTCTACTAGGGTGTGGGGGAGGTTTTCCTTGCGTCAACATAAATGCCTGGGGGGAGAGCCTCAACCGCCTGGCCACCTGAGAAAATATCAGATCACAACCGGTCGGGTGAGATCCCAACGGAACGGGTCAGATCACAACCGCCAAGCACAGCTGGGACGGGTGAGATACCAACATCTCCAGGGGAATCCTTCGGGCATTTGCGAGCCTCTTAGAGATCCTGAAATATTCTGAAAGATTCTGAAAGGTTGTGATACCTTCTGGGAGCTTTAGAACTTTTGAGAGATTCTGGGAACTTCTGAGGAATCCTGGAGAAACAA